CACCGCCGGCCTGCCACCGTGTCGTGTGGGGTGGGTGTGTGTCCCCAAAAAGGCTTCGGTCCCCTGGGGTGGCCGGGCTCATCCCCACTCCCCGTCCCCCCAGGTCGTGGCCGCTTGCGCCTGCCCCGAGCTGTTGGGCAGCCCCGCCGTGCCCGAGGCTGCCCGGCACCGGGCACGGAGCATCCTACGGGAGATGGACGCCGGCAACATCGGTAGGATCCGGCACGGCTCGCGGGGTTGCCCGGCAGCTTTGGTGCGGGGCGCCCCTCGCCAGCGCATGGGGAGCTTGGTGTTAGCCTTGGTATGGCTTATAGGGGGGCTCACGGGGGGGTCCCGTGGGGTGGCCAGCATGCGTGGCTGGCATGGCTTGTCGGGTGCCCCCCCAGAGCCCGTGGGGTGCCTGTATGAGGTATGGGGTGCCTGGTCCCATAGGGTGCCCCCCCCAGAGCCCGTGGGGTGCCCAGTCCCATAGGGTGCCCCCCCAGAGCCCGTGGGGTGCCTGCGTGAGGTATGGGGTGCCCAGTCCCATAGGGTCCCCCCCCCCCAGAGCCCACAGGGTGCCCCCCCAGAGCCTATGGGGTGCCTGGTCCCATAGGGTGCCCCCCCAGAGCCCATGGGGTGCCTGCGTGAGCTATGGGGTGCCTGGTCCCATAGGGTGCCCCCCCAGAGCCCATGGGGTGCCTGCGTGAGCTATGGGGTGCCTGGTCCCATAGGGTGCCCCCCCAGAGCCCATGGGGTGCCTGCGTGAGCTATGGGGTGGCTGGTCCCATAGGGTGCCCCCCCCAGAGCCCATGGGGTGCTCAACACCATGGGGTGCCCCATACCACCCCCATGAGGTTTCCCCTTCCCAGTGAGGCTATCAAGGGAGGGGGGGGTGTCATCAGGAGACTCCCCCCCCGCGGGATTCGGGGTGCTCGGGAGTGGTCCCGTCCCTGTCCCCAGGGGGCTACAACCACCAGCACCGGGCACTGGGGGTCCCGACCAGGGTCGCCCGTTTCCTCGAGCGTCGCGATGGCGGCGTCCCCTGCCACCCCCGCAACGTCGTCCTCTGCAGCGGCACCGCCAGCATCCTCCCGGTGAGCCCCCATCGCC